TAAAATAAACAACAAAAAAGAAGAGAAGAAGAAAAAGAGGAAGAGGAAGAAGGAAGAAGGAAGAGAAGAAGAAGAAGAAGAAGAAGAAGAAGAAGAAGAAGAAGAAGAAGAAGAAGAAGAAGAAGAAGAAAGGAGGAGGAGGAGGAGGAGGAGAAAAGAAGATATTCCCTTTACTCTGCTTCCTTGGCTTCCACACTCTGTTCCTCTCCACAGAAAACCTTCCTGAAATATTTAGTCATTATTTCCACCACTTCTTCTGTAGACCAACGAGACAGACCAGACTCAGACTCCAAACTGGGTTCAAATGAAGAGAGCTTTATTAGCCACACGGCAACTGTCCCATGCTACGCAGAGGAGAGAGCAGCCCCGAGCTCAGGGGGAGGGCTGCTTATATAGTTGTCTTAGCCCCTGTTAAGAAATTGGGCTAAGGGTCTGCGAGCAAGCAAGCAGGTACAGAAGCGGATATCTGCAGTTAGCCATTGTGTCTGAGGGGTGAGCAGTTCTATTTGCACGATGTAGTGGTCAGCTCCGGCTGATGCCCGTCTCCTTCCCTCCTGCCTAGTTCCTGGAATCCTCTGAGGGTCCAGGGCAAGGTCTGCCAAGTGGGAAATTTTTAAGTACAAGTTTCCACAGTACTTTAGTTGTATGTTCTTTATGTTTCATTGCCCTATTGTCTGTCCTTCACACTTCACCTCTAATTTCTCAACCCATTTCAGTCTGTCACAAATGACCTCTATGTTTCTAAGCCCGTTGCTTTCTTCTCTGTTCCTTGACCTCTCAGCACATTTGGCTGATCTTTCTCAACTTTGTCATCTGACACCACTTTCAGCAGGTCTCCACGGCTGCTGCCCCTCAGTCTCATTGGTTTTTCTCTTTTTTTATTATGGCCTAGGTCAGTTGTCCATCTAGCTACTCTCCCAAGTGACTTCATCAAATTTTATGACTTCATCTCATACCATTTTTTCCTGCCTACTAGGCTTCAGCCATGCAGCCAGCCTCTCTGTTCCTGAGGGCACTAGATGCATTCTCAGGAGCCTCAGGTTCTTTGCACTAATTGTTCCCCAGCCCAGAATGTTCTTCCTCAAGATTTTCACTTGCTTCCACCTTTCTTTCATTCATAAGCAACTTAAACTTCACGTCTTCCAGAGGTTTTCACTGGCACCCTACTAAAATGTCCACCCAAGCGCTCCCAATTCCATCATCCTGTTTTAATCTTCTCCGACATATTCTCTGTCTCCCACTGGCGTGTAAGTTCCAGTGAGGCAAGAACAGCAGAAAACTCCCTGTCCTCCTGGAGCTTACACTATGGTAGGTGAAGTAAAATAAAAAGGCAAATTCATAGCATATTAGACTATGACAAAGGCTCAAGAAAAATACATTAAATTAGAGTGATAGGGATTGTGTGTGTGTGTGTGTGTTTCAGGATGGTTTTGCAATTTTACATTTGGTGGTCAGGAAGAGCCTCAGAGAGGTGATATTTGGGTAGACTTGAAGGAGGCAAAGAAAGCATCAAAAGTTCTGTGGTGGGAGTGTGACAAGCATGCCGTAAGAATATCAAGGCCAGTGGCTGCCTCAGAATAAGGGAGGAGAAATGTAGTAGGAAATGAAGTCTGAGTGTGTGCAGGTAGGGCAGACCATGAAGTGCTCTTGTGAGAACATGGACCTTTACTCAAAGGTCCGAGGAGTAACATTGTATGGATTATGCTTTGTCATCATGTCTCCAGCTGCTGGTTGAGAATAGATTTGGAGGTGGGGGGGCAAAAGCAGGCAGACCAATTAGGAGGTTCTTACAATAACCCAAGGAAGCAGTGTAGGACTTACAAATATTTATGTCTCTTCTCTGCATCTAGAAGTGTCTTGTGAGGCAAGTAGTCATTCCCTCTGAACTGTGGTTTGTTACCCACTGTCAACTGTGGTCTGAAAATATTAAATAAAAAATTCCAGAAATAGACATTTCATAAATATTAAATTGTATGACATTCTGAGGATCGTGATGAAATCTCCAGCTGTCTTGTTCTGTCCTGCCAGGGATATGAATCATTCCTTTGTCCAGTATCTATTAGTCACTTAGTAGCCATCTCAGTTATCCAATCAACGATCATGTGATGGCCATGCTTGTGTTCAAGTCACCCTTATTTTACTCCATAACGTTTATTGCAATCTAATTGTAATTATTCTATCTTATTATTAGTTGCTTTTGACCTCTCACTGTGCCTCATTTATAAATGATCACAGAATGTATGTATAGGGAAAGCATAGTATGGGTTTGGTTCTGGTCTGTGGTTCCAGGCCTCTGCTGGGGGTGCTGGAAGGTTTCTGGTTGGACAAGTCCTTTGTATACACTTAATCCTGATCACTAATGCCTGGTCATGGTGGGCATTCAGTACGTCGTTGTTTATTTTATTTATTTGTTAATCTTCACCTGAGGATATTTTTCCATTGATTTTTAGAGAGTGGATGGGAGGAGGGGGGACATAGAAAAACATTGATGTAGATTGCCACACGCACCCCTACCAGGCTGGGGATAGAGCCTGCAACTCGGGTACATGCCCTACCACTGAGCCACACTAGCCAGGGCCATATTTGTTGATCTTAAAGACATAAAAAATATACTGAGCTCATTAAACAAAACAGGGACCAATGAAGGGGTTATTTCTAAGAATAAGTTCTTGGGATTTGTGCATCTTTTAATTAGGAATTGCTTCACCAACATTGGATTTCTGGCCCTTTTACTCATTGCACCTAAATCTCATTTATTTCAACTTAGTTTGTAAAGGAGAGGAACTAAACTCAGGCAAAAGCGTGAAGAGATCCCATGGCTCCTCATTTTTTCAATAACCCAGTACTTCCAGTGTCTACTTCCTGCAAAGCACCCTACTAGGCACAGCCAAGTTCCTCTTCTCAGTCTTCAGGGGAGCCGGACAGGTAGAACACAGGGCACAGAAAGACAAGTCCAAGTCCAAGGTAGTGCGTATCCAGGGTTAATGCAGCAATTTAAGTTGGATCCTGAAGAGTGAATCAAACATGGAAAATGAAAGAAAAGTAAGTGACTCAGACCTGAGTTCACTGGTATGGGGTGTGGACGGAACCCCTCAATTTAAACAAAAAAGTAATGAAGACAAAAGCTCCAGAGCAGAAGGGCGCGCTGCAGTGACACCGAGCCGCGTCGGCTAAGCAAAGGCGGATGAGAATCCAGCAGACGGGCAGGAACAGACAGCGAACGGGCGGCGCACGAGACCGTGTGCATCGCTCCCAAGCGTCACAGCACCGGCAGCGCGGCGAGGCGGGCGGCGCGCACCCGGCCCCGCGCGCCCTCGCTCGGCTGGAGCCGGCCACGCGGCGGGCACGGGCACGCGCTCGGCCGGGAGCCCAAGGCTTTCCTGCTTTCCCCACATTTCCCTCCGCCCATCCCGACGACGGGGCGGAGGCGCCCAGCTCCGCCCGAGGACTGTTTCAAACACAGGCTACCCTCACCCCTGTCGCCCCCCCGCCTCGGCCGCGCTCCGTTTCCAGAGGCCGCCGCCCGGCGCGAACCCGGAAATGGCAGCGACTGAGCGCTCTCGCGTCCCGTAGGCGCGCGGACGCCGAGCCGGAACGGACAGCGCGGTGCGGCGGTCAAAGTCCTCCGCCTGAGCGCCTGCGAAGCCCGCCCGGTGAGTCGGCTGCGCGGGCAGCGGCGGGGGTGGGCGCGCCGAACCGGGGGGGCTCGGCCGTCGCTGTCCCCAGTCAGAGTGGACGGTGGGCCCGTCTCCGGTCCGCCCGCCGGCTATGGCGCGGGGGTCCCGCCGCGTCTCCGGCTCCCTCCAGCCGGGGCCGGCCATCTGGGAGGCTCCCTCCTCCGCCGTTTAAAGGACGGGTTTTACGTTTCGTGAGGGACCCCGCGGGGCCCGGGTTCGCCCTGGACGCGCCCGGTGAGAGGCCGAGTCAGTGGGCTGCCTGTTGACGTGAGCGAACGCGGGCCGTCCCCGCGCGCTCGGGAGCCTGAGGCCGGGCGGCCGGCCTCGCCGCTGCCCCTTCCGTGCGCCTGGCCCGTGCCCCCGCGCGGACGTGCAGGCAGGACCAGGTCGGGCTCCCCGCCGGCCGCCGCGGCGTCCCGACCGCGCGCCCAGGCCCGCCGCAGCCCGTTTCCCTTCGGTGCTCAGTCGTCAGGTCTTCGCTCGAGCCGCCCGACGGATCCTTCCTACACTTGTCGCTGACGTCCAGCATCCAGTTAGTTTCAGGTTGCGGCACAGACTGCCCCCCAGGCCGGCCGCAGTGGTCCCGCGGGGTGTCACCACAGCTGTCACGAGGCTTTTGCGTGGGGTTCCCGTGCTGGACGTTCCCGCCCGTGACTGACTTGTGACTAGAAGTTTGTGAAACGGGCTGATGCCAGTAAAACGGAGAACTATCTTACTAATAGTCAAGAGAGTGGATTTTCCCCTTTGTCTTGTTTAAATTAGGAGAAGGAGCCATCTTTTCTATTAATAATAATAGCTAAGGCTTACAAAGCACTTTCTGTGTTTTTTTAAATTCATTTAGTCCTCAGACCAGACCTGTGAAAGTGAGTGCTGTTTTTCTCATTGTTCAGATGAGAAAACTTAAATGATTATCTCCGATAGTTGTATTGGAGAATTTCCTATTATTTTATTGTATTTTATTTTATTTTATTTGGTACCTGCCCCTAGCTGCTAGGGGCTAGCGGGAACTGAACCCGGACTCCCTGATCCACAGGCCAATGCTCCGACCACTGAACCAAACTGGCCAGGGCCAGGGCTAGTATTTTTAATAATAAGTTCCATATTAGAAATTTTCTACTGATGTAACTTTTAAACCAATATTTCCTGCATTTATAATCCAAAATTATTTAGTATATAAGTACGCTAGGTGAGAATTGGGGTCATATCTTTAATTGTAACAGCATCCTGTTATTTGGTAAATATCAATTTATAATTTAAATCTAAGAGTAGTTACGATATGAAGAAAAATGATGCATTTTCTTTCACTCTTTTCATTTTACACAGGGCAACTGCTTCAGTTTCAATCAGGGAAGCCTTTAAATGAAACTTGCTTAAAATCTTAGATCATACACGGAAGAGAGACCCCAGTCAACAGTCAAGTGGACAAGAAGGATGTTGTCCTTAAACAACCTACAGAATGTCATCTATAACCCGGTAACTGATTTCTCTGAAATCACTTTTTACCTTTGGCAGGATTAAGAGCAAATCCAGTGGGATAGTAATTATTGCTGGCAGAGGGGGTCAAGAATAAAATTCAGTAAACGTGTAAAGCATCCTCAGTATGACAGCGACTGTGGTGGGTGCTGACTGAAAACATATGCCACCCTGGATCTCATTCTGGTGAAGGACCAGGTCACAGTCACAACACAAAGTGATGAGAATGTGTTGTGAATGGGAACTGGGAAACAGCAGTGGAGGGAATGCCTATGTTGGGGGTGGTAGGAGGGTGCAGATATCATAAGACATAATTTTAAAAGGAAAATGGGTTTGTTATTATACAACTTTTAAGTTTTTGTTTTATTTATTTTTAAAAATTTTTTTAAATTATATCTTTATTGTTGGATGTATTACAGATGTTCCTCATTTTTCCCCCATTGACCCCCTCCTCCCCACTCCCGCCCCTCTTCTGCCTTTTCCCACACTGTTGTCTGTGTCCATTGGTTATGCCTATATGCATATAAGGTCTTTGGTTTATTTCTTCCCAACCCCCTTCCCTTTGAGGTTTGTCAGTCTAGCAACCAATTTGTACTTCTTAATCCCTTCACTTTTTTCACCCATTCCCCCAACCCCCTCCCATCTGGCAACCAACAAAATATTCTCTATATCTATGAGAATGTTTCTGTTTGGCTTGTTCATTTTGTTTGTAGATTCAATTGTCAGTAGATATGTATTCGTTGCCATTTTGTTTGTTCATATTTTTTAGCTTTTTCATCAAGAAGACCCTTCAACATTTCATATAATAATGGTTTGGTGATGATGAACTCCTTTAGCTTTTCCTTGTCTGGGAAACTCTTTATATGGCCATCGATTCTAAATGACAGCTTTGCAGGATAGAGTACTCTTTGTTGTAGGTTCTTGCTTTTCATCACCCTGAATATTTCTTGCCACTCCCTTTTGGCTTGCAAAGTTTTTTTGGAGAAATCATCTGACAGTCTAATGGGAACTCCCTTGTAGGTAACTAACTGCTTTTCTCTTGCTGCTTTTAAGATTCTCTCTTTGTTGTAAGCCTTTTGCATTTTGATGATGTGTCTTGGTGTGGGCCTCTTGGGGTTCATCTTGTTTGGGACTCTCTGTGCTTCCTGGACGTGTATGTCTGTTTCCTTCACCAAGTTGGGGAAGTTTTCTGCCATTATTGTTTCAAATAGGTTTTTGATTTCTTGTTCTGTCTCTTCTTCTGGCACCCCCAAGATGCAAATGTTGGCATGCTTGAAGTTGTCCCAGAGGCTCCTTACACTCTCCTCATTTTTTTGGATTCTTTTTTCTTTTTGTTGTTCTGATTGGGTGTTTTTTGCTTCCTTATATTCCAAATCGATGGTTTGTTTCTTGGCTTTACCTACTCTACTATTGAATCTGTGTAAATTATTCTTTATTTCAGTTAGTGCCTCCTTCATTTCTGACTGCACATCCTTCATTTCTGACTGGTCCTTTTTTATGCTCTTGAGGCCCTCAATAAGTTCACTGAGGTTCTCACTAAGTTCATTGAGCATCCTTATAAGCAATATTTTGAACTCAGCATCTGTTAGGTTGCTTATCTCCATTTCGCTTAGTTCTTTTCCTGGGGTTTTGTTTTTTTCTTTAATTTGGGACCTGTTTCTTTGTCTCCTCATTTTGGCTGCCTCCCTGTGTTTGTTTCTATGTATTACTTAACCAGAGGTATGGGGCTAGCTGAGACCAGATGCTGCTAGTTTGAAAGAATTTAGGAAATCCTGAAGCAGGATCCAAGACAGGCCAATCCTATGGTTAAGCAACTGGCAACAGCTTGGGTGGGCCTGAAAGTTGGGTGGGGCGGGACCTCAGGGAATCACCAGGGTGGGGCAAACAGTGTGAGCCAAGTTGCTGGAGTCCCAGATATGGTGGCTGTCTGCTGCCCCAGGGAAGGGCTCACCAAAGGAACAAAGGCCTCTGACAGCACGTCTGTCCAGGAGAAAGTCCCCTCTCCAGCCCTTGCTCCAATGCCAAACAGCTCAGTTCTTCCCTGTATGTCTCTGGCGCCCCTGGAGCTGCCTCCCCTCCAAGGTTAGAGGGAGTGAGTCTGAGTAAGTCCGTGTGCGGGCCCTTTAAGAGGAGCTGCCTGGGGCTCCAACCACCTCAGCCTCCCTGAGCCTCAGTTCCCGCTGCTTTTTCCAGCCAGAAGTAATGGGAATTCCCTTCCTGGCACTGGAACCCTGAGCGGGGCGCCTGGTGTGGGACGGTGACCCGTCAGTTCTCAGGGAGGACCTTCCCAGCCCAGGTGTCCTCCTGATTTTTAACCACTACACGTGGGTGTGGGACCAGCCCATCCGCCTCCGCCCCTCCTACCAGTCTCGAAGTGGCTGCTTGTTTAATTCCGTAGTCGTAGGACTTCTATTCAGCTTGATTTCAGGCAGTTTTGAATGATGGTTGTTCTGTAGTTTAGTTGTAATTCTGATGTGGTTGTGGGAGGACGCGATACTGTGGTTACCTACACTGCCATCTTGACCAGAAGTCCTAAATTTTTGTTTTGAATTAGACCTGTTCGTGAGAAGTCTCAGTTTTTCCCTCTACTTTTCAAATGACACTTATTACTTGAGCAGGGAAATGTCAAAAGCTAGTGGTGAGATGGAGAATTAAAAAAATTAAGGATCTTGCCCAGCTGGTGTGGCTCACTGGTTGAAGGTTGACCCGTGCACCAAGAGGTTGCTGGTTTGATTCCCGGTCATGGCACATGCCCACTTTGTGAGCCCAATCCCCAATGGGGGCATGCAGGAGGCGGCCAATCGATGTTCTGTCTCATCGATGTTTCTCTCTCTGTCTCCCTTCCTCTCTCTCTAAATCAATAAAGAAAAAAAAAAAAAAGAACAGTCTTGAGGCTGGTCCAGGACCTCTGAATGGCTGTAATTGCTGAAAGTTTCATTGTACATCCTGGGAAGTAACAAACTCATTTTAGTTTCATGTGGTTGCAGCAGTTTCTGTGTATCTGGAGCTGAATCCTGAATTTAGGTCTTAGGTAGAGTTGCTTTCTGGTACCTGCCCCCAGTGGGAACCGAACCCGGGACTCTCTGGTCCACAGGCTGATGCTCCAACCTCTGAGCCAAACTGGCCAGGGTGAGTTGCTGCTTTTTTTATAACCCTCTCCCCCAAGAGACTCTTGGGCAGTAGGGAGGGTGAGGGTCCTTGAAGTAAGGCCCTAAACCAGTCTTACTTGTGTAAGTGGGTTTAATTTTTTGTTATTTAGTTTGTAGATATAACTCTTTTTTTCCCAAGTTTTAATGTCATTGTACAAGAATAAGGTGTGACCAACATCAAGCAAACTCAGTTTTAGAAGAAATAGCCTCCAGTAGTACTAGGTTTAAAAAGGAAGATTTTCTCAAACGACAAGTGTTGGTGAGGGTGTGGAGAAAAGGGGACTCTAGTACACTGCTGGTGGGAATGCAGACTGGGGCAGCCACTATGGAAAACAATATGGTGTTACCTCAAAAAATTAAAAATTGGCCCTGGCCGGTTTGGCTCAGCGGTTAGAGCATCCACCTGCGGTCCGGAGAGACCCGGGTTCGGTTCCCGCTAAGGGCTTGTACCTCGGTTGCAGTTTGTCCCCGGCCCTGGTTGGTTGTGCGGGTGGCAGCCACTCGATGTGTCCCTTTCACGTCGATGTTTCCCTCTCTCTCTGTTCCTCTCTCTCCCTCCCGCTCTGTCTGTACAAAAAATGGAAAAATGTCCTCGGATGAGGATAAAAAAAAAAAAAAAAATTAAAAATTGAACTTCCATTTGACCCAGTGATCCCACTTCTAGGAATATACCCTAAGAAGCCTGAAACACCAATCAGAAAGAATATATGTACCCCCATGTTTGTAGCAGCACTATTTACGATAGCTAAGATCTGGAAACAGCCCAAGTGTCCATCAGTAGACAAATGGATAAAAAGCTGTGGTACATATACATAATGGAGTACTACACGGCTGTAAGAAAGAAAGATCTCTTATCCTTTGAGACTACATGAAGGGACCTGGAAAGTATCATCCTAAGTGAAACAAGCCAAACAGAGAAAGACAAGTATCATATGATCTCACTTATTTGTGGAATATAATGAACCTAACAGTCTGAGGAAGGGGGTAGTCCCAGAGACATGGAAGTGGGGTACAGACTGACAATCCAGAAGAGGGGATGGTGGGGGAGAGATGAATCACAGAACTTATATGCATGTATGCATGAATAGTGGACATGGACAACAAAGCTGGGGACAGGGCAGGGAGGGAGGGGGAGGGAGGAACCAGTGGGGGGGGGGAAGGAGAAACATCTGTAACAAAAATTAATAAAAAATTAAAAAATTTAAAAAAAAAAAAGGAAGATTTTCCCTTTTTGGCTCTGTTTGGCTCAGCCGTTAGAGCACCTGCCCACCGACTAAAGGGTGGTTCGATTCACGGTCAAGGACATATAACCTGGGTTTGCAGGTTCAATCCCTGGTCCCAGTTGGGGGTTGTGCAGGAGGCAACTGATCCGTGTATCTCTCTCACATAGCTGTTTCTCTCCCCCCCCCCCCTCTTGTCCACTCTATCTAAATCAGTGGGAAAAATAGCCTTAAATGAGGATTAACAAAAAAAAAGAGGAAAACTTACTGAACTTGAAGTCAGAGACATTTAAAATGATTTTGTTCATCTTAGAGTTTAAAAGCATCTCAAAGTCGTAGACTGACTTTCTGCAGAGATTAAAAAAAAAAAAAAAAGCCACCTGCCAAAGGGTGACTGAAGAGTAACCTTGACTCGAGCCAGGAGGAGGAGTGGGCTGTTGAATTACACTGGTCAGTGCGGGCCTTCATGCACAAAGTTGCCTTATTAGAATGGTATTTAGAAAATCATTTTCTAGGTTAAAATCCCTGTTTATCTTGACACGAACATAGTGATGAGTCACGTGATTTCTGGGGTTAGTACCCTAAACTGTAGAGTTGAAACAAAAATATATTGATGCTTAATTCCTGAAGT